GGAATACCTGGAGGGAACAGAGTGTGTTTGTGTGCGTGTTGGAAAACAGAAAATACCCACTAATATTTTCACATTGCTTTTCATTGAGGAAATAAAATCCTGTGACTGTGTAAAGTTGAAAATCCCACTTTCTTGCTGGTTAAAGGTCTGAAACTGGGAAATTCCAGCTTTCCTCATTTAAAACCAGTTCCTGTCCCCGGGACAAAGGTCTTTGGGCAGCTCCTGCACTGGAGTGCACCAGTCTGAGCTGCTCAGGAGCTGATGGGTGAACACAGCACAGACAGGGGGTGGTTTTTATACCAAAAGGCTTCCACCAAAACTGGTTGTTTCCAACCTGAAATTACAGTTCCTTTTTGCTGCAACTGGTGTTGCTCCTCCAAAACTGCTTTACAACTGGAGCCTGGAGATGCTGGCGGGCTGTAGCCAGCAAGAGATGGTGGTGGGATGGGTGGTGGCTGATTGGCAAAGTTTCAGCAGAACCACAACTCTGGAAATGCCGCCTGGGAAGTTTCACTTCCACAAAAAGTCACCAGCTCACTGGCAGAACAGAGGTGCTTGATAATTCAAGTGAGGGAGGAGAAGGAAAGGAGAAGCTCTAATGGGGCAAATAATCACAGCCTGTGGAAGATCCTGGCCAGGAAGGGACGCCAAAATCCCTGCTAGGAGAGGGGCTGGAGGTTACTCAGCGCCCTCCAAGCTGCAGCCTGGGGCTGCACCACACCAAGAAGGTGCAGTGAAGCACCCAGATCTCATCCTTCCTCTCACAAAGGGGGCTTTTTGTTGCAGGGAAGAATAAACCCAGATCTTTCTTGGGATAAAGTCCATCAGAATAAGTGTAAATCCCCTCCAGCCCTGAGAGACACCTTCAGTGGGACAGCAGAGTTCCTTCCTCGGCAACTGTCCCACCCCAGCCCTGTGGCCCTTCTGGAATGCACACCCAGGGGTGCATTTTTCATGACCTTCTCTTAACCAGACATCCCTACACTTCCTTGCTATGGAAGCAGCCCTGATGGTTATGGAGTATTCCATTGCTTTTCCAACCTGTGTGAGTGTTTTGTTGGAGCAGGTGACAGTTGGTGACCTCGGTCCTTGTGATAATACCTTTCGCTTGTTTTCCCTGCGATGACTAAGGATCACTCTGGACTTGGATGGGGATTTCCTCTCCTGCCTGGGAAGCTGCCAAAACCCCTCAACCTTCCTTGATCTTGGGGGGGGGGTGAAAATCCAAAAGTTCCAGGCTTGCTTTCCTAGAAAAAAGGCCTGTTGTTCGCTCGCAGGAGCCCTGAGCTGAAATTGCTGACCTGACTCCCAAATTTCAATGTGGATGAAGATTCCTGCCAGGCAAAAGGTGCCAGGACAGAAAAACTCTTGCTGATTATGGAGCGCCAAGAGTGGCACACCACAGCTGCACGTGAGAGACAGACAGGGAGGGTTTTCTTTCCTGGGGGGAAGGTGTGAGATCCTGGATCCGAATCTCGCTGAATTATGGATATGAGTTGGAATCAAATCACTCTGTGTGTGTGTGTGTGTGCTGAGGGCACATGGCAGAGCTGAAGGCCTGGAGCTGGGCTGTCAGTCAAGGCAGACCTGCCTGGTAGCCCAACCACACCACACCACAGCAGGCTGGAGGTGGCCAAACTGCTGGGGTGGATGTGGCTTTTTTGTTTTATGGAAAAAAAACAACCAACAAAATTGATTGTGAAAGTCCCTTTCCTCCCCTGGAATCGACCTGCTAATGGAAGGATGTGGCTGTGTGCTGGGGAGCAGCACAGAGCTCCTCACAGAGGATTTAATTATTTATCAGTAAATGGGGATGCTGAAAAACCGAGCCAGGTAATTCCTGATCAATACTAGACTCTGAATCATCAGTGTGGGCTCAGGGGAGACAGAGGGACGTGGACTGGATCTCTCCCAGCCACAGGAAATTATGTCCCAGAGAGTTTATAGAAAGGAAGAAAATAATCCCGGGCTGTTCCGATTGCAAACTGAATCCATTATCGGGAAAAGCCCATTTGTATCCAGGGGAAACCTTGGCTGCGCATCATCCCACCCGAAAACCAGGGACAAAGCGCCGCTGCTCGGCTGGAAATCTTCCCGAGGGGTTTTCCAGGAGGGGGTTTTTCCAAAGCCTGAGTCCCGCCAGCCCGGCAAAAGCATCCGGCGCCATCCCTGCAGTGCGGGATTTTGCCATCAGGTGGCAAAACAGCGATGGGGAATGTGGGAAGCACCTGCCGGAGGGTGTCACAGGAGGCACAGGGGTGGCCTTGGGACCTAAAGGAGCTTTAGTGTAAGAAAGGTTTGATCTTAAGCCGGGATTTTTCTTGTAGGTGTTGGGATGTGCCTGGTGGGAGATGCTGAGAGGGAGCCACGGGGCTGTGAAGGATTCAGGTCATGAGCTGGTGCTGATTCAGGCTTTAGGGTGGGAGTACAGGCTGTCTGAAGGACCCCAGGGTGGGTTTTGAGGATTTCAGCCCAGCCATGCCCAGTGTTAATAGCACCAAGGTTGTGGGTTTGATCCCTCTATGGATCATTCACTTAAGAATTGGACTAAATGATCCCCGCGGGTCTCTTCCAGCTCAGAATATTCTGTGATTCTGATTCTATCTCCCAACAACCTGACAGCACCGTGTCCCAGAGTGTCTGTGGTCTCACAACAGCCTCTGGGAACTCCTGGGACACGAGCAGGGCAATCTGCTTCCTCCTTTTGTCTGAGAAAGTTATGACTTCCCTTTACAAAAACAACCCAGAAAATCCCATAAAAGGCGCCACACACAGAGTGAAAAACAACAAAACAAACCAAACCCAAAGCCGAGTGGCTGCCTGAGATAGCTGGTCTCAAAGGCCAGCTCGTACACACCAGGTGACAGGTGATTTTTATGCTGTTTTGCTGCTACTTGTCACAAGGAAGTTGTTTTCTCCTCCAGTGAAACTCACGCCCACTGGTTTCCGCCACGAGGGCGGTGATAACGGGCACCCCAGGCGGAAGCATCAGCCCCTCTCCTACCTGAATGGCTGCTAAAAATAGGAATTATCTCAGCCAACCACTGGCTTGGGCATAAAAAGGCAGCTCCCAGGAGAGCCTGAGAAGAACCCTCAGCGCCCGTGGCCGAGGAGCTTGTCTTCACCTCTGTCCCAACAGGCAGAGATACTGATGGAAAGGTAAAAAACCAAGCCAGCAAATAAAGAATGGTGTGGCCAAGGCACTGGAATCATCAAAGTAGGACGGGGGTTGTGGCTTTAGAGTGATTAAATTCAGTGGACTGATTTGTCATCGGGTGGTTGGTGGGGTTTGGTGTTGGCTTGGATGAAGGAAACTCGTCTTCTTGATCCCCAGAACCGGCCAAGGTGGGGTGGGTGGGTGTGCTGGGCACTGTGATGATGTTCACTGAGTCTGAGGGGAGGCTGATGCCCAGCTCCAGGGTGGTTGGTACGGCCCAGCTTGTCAGGTTTCTGTGCTTGCTCCCTCTGTGCTGTTCAGTGGTGGAGAAAGTCTGTTTTGAGTCTGGTTCTTTGGAGGGTGAAATTGGTTTCAAAGATAAAACCAACCCAAGGCACCGTCACGGCTTCCTGGTTTTCCAATAGCAACGTCCTTGTTTAATTTTGCTTGCAAATGCAGAGAAAAAGGGCAATGGGAAAGGCAGGGAGTGGGTGGTCTGAGCTCTGTTCACAGCCCTGTGCTGGTGGGAGCTCAGAGGGACTGTGTCACTGAGGAGATTTACAAGAGCCCATGTTTCCCTTGACCTCTCCAGCCTTGTTGAGGGATGATTTTTTTTTTTTTTAGCAGCCAATACTTTAAGGGGAAATACTCAAAAATCTGGGTTGTGTCATTCACGGTGTGCTCCTGGGGTGTCATTTTTCATCCTAATGTGGGAACATGGGATGATAGGAGGGTGGTCTGGGTGATAACCGTGCTGGGTGAAACCCCCTGGATGATGACCAGTTTCTCCCCTGAGACATGCCCAGCCCATTTCCCGCTCCCTGCAGTTTCAGTTCCCTTATCAGTGTTGTCTACAGTCCATCATAAAACCCCGCGTGGGCCACCTACACCAGGAGCACTCAGATAACAACTATAAAACTGGCTGATCATTAACCAGGAACGTTAACAATCTCGGGCACCCCTGGGTGGCAGAGTTGGGGGGAGGATTTCCATCATGCCCAACCCAACTGTGCAGCCACCTGGGGGAAAACAAAGAAATAAAACAGGCTGAAAATGTCATTTTTCTCCCTAGCAACGTGCGGGCTCCGGCTGCGGAGATGCCTCGGTGGGATGTCGGGAGGCAGCCGTCGGGCAAGATCCTCTCCCTGGACAGGCAAGGGGCCAAGAAAGTGCTGGAGATTTATGTCAGGCGCTCGCTGAGCTGCAGGGAAAACCCACCAGTGGCCAAACAAAGCCCACGGGAGAAAACTGGAAGGCGGGGGAGGAAGACAGACGGGCTGCAACGGTCAGAAAGCGACTTCTGTACGTACCCATGTGCCAAATCCAGCCCCAGGAAGGACCAGGAGGAGGGACTGAAAGTGCTGGACCTGGAAGAGGCTCCGGATGATGACAGCAAATCTCCCCAGGAGGTCCCTAAAGAGGGGACGAAGCCCAAGAGGAAAAGCACAAAAAACTCTTCCCAACATTCTGGTTCCAAACCGACCTGGCTGAAAAGCTTCTTAAATTTCTTCTTCAAGAGGAGCCCCGAGGAGCAGAAGGAAAACTCGGGGCAAAAAGCGAAGGAGAAAGATGCCAAAGCTTCTCAGGGCTCCAAACCAGAAGGAGCCAAGAAACACAGAGTGGACTCGAGCACGTCCCCAACACCAGGCAGAGCCTCGAAGAGGAAAACAAGCATCAAGAAGGTTTTCTCCTTGAAGAAGCACGGGGAGGAGGAGCGGGGAGAGACGGGGTCCGGAGTGAGGACCAAGCGCCCCGGCTGCCTTCCCCTGCGGCACGTCCTGGCCCCGGCCACGCCAGGTGGGACCCCCCACACTCCACCCCTGACCCACCCCTTCATCCAACGGGACCTCTCTGGGCTTCTTTTGGGAAAACTGTCATGTTTACTGCTGGTTTCTAGTGAGGTGTCACCCTCCCAGATCTTTCAGGGGGTTTGGGATGGGTTTTGGGGACTCCAATCCCAACCTGCTGCCCCCGGGAAGGGTCGATCTGCCCGTGCTTTGAGCACACGTCACCCCAAGCCTGATGTTGGCAGTAACCACCCAAGCATAAGTTTTCTGCCCTCTGGCAACCAAGGGTCACGGTGGTTTAGTTTAAACCTGTGTTTGAGACCTGAGATTAAAGCCTAAACCACTCCAGGGCCGATGTTACGGTGTTTGAGATTTGCCACGGGGATGGGTGTGGGCAGTTGGTGCAGCAGAGCCTGTGGGACACCCAATTCCACCCCTTCCAGTGCCAGAACACTGATGAGGGGATTTACAAGGAGCTTTGGCAGGATTTGGGGCAAGTCACAGCCGCTCAGTTGTGGCTCAGAAAGCGCAGCCACATCCTCCACCACGGGGAATGCACTAATCCTGGGTGGGCACCAGCACATCCAGTCCCTGCTGCAGCTGCTTTTCCCTTTCAATCAATCACCAACAAAAATAATCCTCACTTCTGAATATGTGTTTTCCTTCCAGCAGAGGTGGAGCGGCCCGATGGCTACTACAGAGAGGTCTCAGAAGAGATTGGGCTGATCGTGCAGGGCAGCGAGAGCCAGGGGAGCAGAGCAAGTGGATTTGGGGAGCCCCCACAGCCACCTGGCACCGATGGGGTTGGTGAGTGTTGCCCTTGCTGGCCCTTACATAAAACATATGCACACAAGACTTCTCCCCATGCAGAGCCTGCACGGCACCCAACCCTTGCTTCAATCCTGATCCAGGGAATACAAAGGCTTTGGTGGAGATTTTCAGCGTCAGGGCTTGACTGGGGGAGAGAGAAATTCATAGAATGGTTTGGGTTGGAAAGGGTTTTAAAGGTCATCTCATTCCCGTCCCCTTCCCTGGGCAGGGACACCTTCCACTAGGTGGATTTCTGCCACAGAAAAGGCAGAATTCAAAGGCAGGAGCGTGGTTTTGCTGGGTGAGGGTAACCAGGCACTTGGTAACAGGCTGAAATGGTTTTTGGAGGGATGGAGATGGATAAAATGTTGCTCAGGGAATTTTTTCTGGGGGACCAAACAGAGCATCGGGGTGTGGGAGGCCTGGAGAAAGGGCTGGAGATAACGTGGGATCTCTGTCCGCAGACGAACCCATCAGGAGAATCGTGGCCCTGCTCCGGAGCGCAGGAGATGAGCTGGACAGGCAGGTGAGAGGAGAGCTGAGGGAATTTGGGCCAAGCTGCTGTGAAACGCAGCAAGGCCATCGATTCGGTGCAGGGAAACGCTCAGTAAAATCAGCTCTCAATTCCCCGCCTGGGCGTGGTCGGGGCTGCCTGTGTGTCCTCCCTCAGCTGCCATCCTGATGTGGAGTGAAGGCATCAGCAGGGGGATGACACATGAAATCACTCCCTCATAACCTGTTCTCACTTGCCCCTGCCCCAGATGAGGGAGGACGCGCGGCTGCAGCTGTTCTTCAGGGACATGTCCTACAGCTCCTTCAAGAGCTTGGCCGACGCCTACGTCCAGCGGGAGATGACGGCCAGCAGAGCTGACGCCAACCCCCAGGAGATCCAGTTTGCCTTCACGGTCCACCTGACGGCCAGGCTGGCTGGGATCCGCAGCCAGGCAGTGAACAGGATCATGGGCTTCGGCACGCGGTACCTGGAGGATTCGTTTGCGCCCTACGGCAAAATTGTCCGGGTAAGGAGGAGGATGAGCCCTGGGATGAGCTTCCAGGAGCCAGTCAGGGCAAGTGCCCAGAGGAGCTGTGGCTGCCCCATCCCTGGAAGTGTCCAAGGCCAGGCTGGATGGGGGTTGGAGCAACCTGGGCTGGTGGGAGGTGTCCCTGCCCATGGCAGGGGGTGGGAACAAGATGAGCTTTAAGGTCCCTTCCAACCCAAAGCATTCCGTGATTCCACAATTCTATGAATGTTTCTTCTGTCTCAGCAGAACAGAGAAAAGCTCAGGACAGACCACTGTGACAGCCCAGACTGACATCAGCTGCTGTGAAGGGCCTGTGGTGCCTGGGAACCCAAGGACGAAGATTTGCTGGTGGGAGGACAATCCCTGATGGTGACCTGGATGTGGAGTGAATTTCTCAGCCATGGATTTAAAATCTTCGAAGGAAAAACCTGAGCAGCAGCCAGAGCAGTGTGAAATGCTAAAACCCCTCCTGGCTGGGGGCAAAGAGTCTGTAAATCAAACAAAGCCCGGATTTCACTCTGTGTTTGCATTTTAGCTCCTGCCAAGTGCATGTGTTGAACCTCAGGGGTTGTTGGTGTTTGTGTACGTGTATTTATTTACCTGCTTTTCTATACGTGTCTGTGAATGTACAGCATAATTTTTGTAGTTTCTGCTGTCAGCCAAGCATCCAGTTTGGAAAAGAACATAAAACTCAAATAAAATTGGTGCCTAAAATGCCAGCCAGGCTTATCTGCTAGATGGAATAACGTTTGCTTTGCTCCAGCTGCTGTGGCTGCTCCTTTCCACAGCGGCACAAGGGACTCTTAACAGCGGATGCACAGTGCTGTCCTGCCAATTTTACGATTTATAGTCATTCCCTTTACAGCAGAAGGAGATTTACTGCCCAAAGCAGCTTGGGTTAACACCAAGAACTGGGTAAAGCTCGTTCCTGAGCGGTGCAGGAGCCGTCACTCCCTCGAGGGCTGAGGGGATTTGCAGCTGCCAGGGTCTCACCTACAAGCTCTAAGAAGATGTGAAATGTCAAAGGGATTTAAACCCTAATCACTGGGAATGTTTCCAGCTAATCTTTGCCCAGACCCCTAAGCAGGGCCATGGATTAAGGCAGCTTGGGGCTGGGAAGGGGGAGTGTTGCCAGGGCTCGGTGTGGTTGCACCATCAGGAGCATCTCCCTTGTGAGGTTGGACCCGGCCTGGAGCGGAGGAGATGAAGTTTTGGGGTTTGCAGTGTGCAAGAGGTGGGATGATCAAGCAGGTTGAAGGTGATGGTGGTGGCAAACAAATATGTTTGCCTGGGTCAGGGCCATGAGCGGGGTGACAGTCCCTTGTGGGACAGTCCATTGGTGCCAGCTGGGTCTGTCCAGCACCTCCTCTCCTGGATTCTCAGTCCATTTCAAACCCTAAGTAACAGAAAATGGGTAAGCAGAGCCCTTGCAGGATGGGAGCAGCCCTTCCCCACCCAGATCCACATCCCTGTTTGCAAAGCTCATCTGGCTCATCTGACAGACCCAGAGATTTCAGTCACTGCCTGCTGAAGGGCCCCAGGGAGGGGGGGATGCCTTGCAGGGGCTCTGTCTAATTTAGCCTGGGGTAATTAGGACTGTGGAAAACATCAAATCCCACTCCTGGATCCTTCCCACCACAAGTGCAGCATCAGCACCGTGGGTTTTTTTGGCCAGGAACCAAACTGGGAGAGTTTTACTGCAAGTGAAACCAAAACTGCTCTTGGCCGTTTGTAACTGTCCCGATGTCCCAGTTCCCTGCTGGGAGCAGGGCAGGGTGAGCTGATGTTGGGGAGGTGGTGGGGACCCATCTGGAGGATCATGTAATGCCTCTATTTGTTTTGCATCTGAGCCCGTGCAATGCCAGGGGTGGGTTTGGGGCAGAAAAGGGTTCTGTTTCCTCTCTGCCTTCCATCTTCCATCAGCACGTGGGACTCACCTGCCAGGTGAAACACCAGAGAGGCAAACAACTCATCTCTCCCAATCCCTTCTCCTGCACTTTTCCCAATACCACAGCTGAACCAAATACTCTCCTTCTGTGGTCACTGGAGCGTTTCTGACCCATCAGAGCAGCGGTGCCTGGAAAACAAGGAGCAAAACGTGCCCATCCCCTTGCACAAGGGGCTCCTGCTCCCAAATAGTCCAGCCCAAAGCAGGGATGTTGTTCCAGCCCAGCACAGAGGGATGAGGTCAGGAGTGGCCATGGCTGCTCTTTGGTGCAACACCTCATCTCCCTTCTTGAGAGCAACTCCAGCTTCCTGGCCTGATCTCTTGGTTCTAAAATTGAGAACCTGATTGCCTGTGGCCACTGAAGATATTAAGAAGGTTTTAAAGAAGGGCAAGTTATTCGTCCCAGGGATTTGAGCAGTTTCCAACTCTTGGCATTACCTTCATCCTTCCCTAAACACCCCGTGGTGGCTCCCAACAGCAAAGGCAATCCCCTCGCACGAAAATCCCTGGGATCACCAACACCAGCCATCTGGGCACTGATCCTGCCCTGGCAAGGAGCAGCCCCGTGCCCTGCACAGCCCCCAGCCCACCAGGTGCTCAGAGTGAGCTGGGGACCTTCTCCCCAAACCCACCTGCTGCTGGGATCCCGTGTGTCACCGAAGTCGTCAGGTCCCTCTAATCCTGCTTTGCCAGGTGGGGAGGGCAGCTTAGAAAAGCAGCCCGGCACTTAACGAGCCAATTAATGCAAAATTTGCTCTCACTAAGAGGATGATGACAAGGTTTCTTCTCACGGGACCTTGGAGCTGAGCCAGGGGGGATGATGTCTCCTGGAATGCCGTCCCAGGGGCTCAGAGTTCGCAGCAGGGGAGGGTGCAGGGGTGGATTTGGCAACTCCCAGACCCCTTAAGAAACCCCCCATGACTCACTGCAGGACAGAGCAACGTGTGGACAGAAGAACGTGTTCCTGCAGGTCCCACAGGATCATTTACACCTTTCCCAAATCTTGGCAGCCAGGGCTGGGCACAACCAAGGTGATGCAAGCGCTGAGTGAAGCAGGAGCATCCTACACCTCTCCATGCAGAGCCTGTTGCATTCCTTGGGGGCCTGACATGCACAGCAGGCACAGTTCATACCCAGGGAACACAGGAACAATTCCTTCCTGTGTGCAAACACTCCTGCACTTCTGATGCCCGGGAGTGTCTGCACCAGTTGCAGCAAGAGGTGAGAAAGTCCTTTAAATGAAGGGGTTTTTGCTTTCCCAAGGGCTGCAGGAGCCAGTGGCATGAATCATGCAGATCAAAGCTCAGATATCACCAGGAGGCTGGTGGAAAGGCTGCAGTGTGTGGGAGACTCACACAACGGGGGGATAATGTGAAACATCGAACACTGGGAGGACAAGAAATGAGAAGCTCCAGTAAGGCTGTGATCTGAAAACCCCGATTCAGGCAATTATCCACCTCCAGGATAACTCAAATAACTATTCAATATGTCTTGGAGCTGAGAACTCGCTGCTGTGTGCCCTGACATCCAGGCAGCACCAGAGATCAGCCCTGGCTGTGCTGTGACGTTTACCTGGGGGTTCAGGCAATGTCCACCAGGGACAGTTTGCACCTCTGTGCTCCCAGGACATAACTCCTGTTGCAGGGGACACGGCAACGGCCAGAGAGGGCAAATTAAAATGTATAAAAATTGGGGGTGAAACAGCCCTGCAAAGGTTGTATCAGGATGCTGGGACCATCCTCTGTTTCCCTGTATTGTCCTGGCCAGGCTGGTGCATGACATGGGGAAGGAGAGTTTGTTCCTGCAGCCTGTCATTATCCACGTGCCAGTGTTAATAGACAGAACCTTAATTTCAACACAAGTGTATTCACTCTTAGTGTTCAGGCTGTATGGATTTGGACAATATAAACACACACTGTTTACCAATATTTATTAAAACCATCTGTTGAAAATGGCAGCCTTTATTCTGTATGTTGGCAGCAGCATCAGAGCATTAAGGCTGAAAAGACACAAGAAATCTCCTGAATTTCTCCATATCTTTATTTTAACTATCTCCCAGGAAATGCAGACAGCCCAAACCCACTTTGATTTTGGTTCTGTAACCACAGATTTGGGGAATGTGGTGCTGCTATAGGACCTCATTGGGAAGGGGAGAGTGAAACAAACCCAGCTCTTTGGTATCAAATGATATCCAAGATTCAGGCAAGAAAAAACCCTTCCAACGGGGAGCAAATGTAAGGAACATTTCCAAACCTAACCCAGCCCTGCATCCACCCCTTGTGTAACACCCTCTGGCTTTAAGTGTCTTATACAAGCCTTTACTCACTCAGTACTGAGCTGTGCCTAAGCCAGGATTAATGGAGAATCCTATTTAGGAAAACACCCTTTGATGAAGAAAGCACAAAGCAAAGAGGAATTTTTGCACAGATGTTTCCAATTGTGACGGGCACAGGAACATCAGAACTATCTCTGGGAGAGCTCCTGGGGCACTGCAGACCCCCTGGAATGAGAGGGGAGCCTTGACTCAGCCCTGAGCATCAGCCTGGTTGAGGATTATAAGAGCCGTTTTGATCAGGGGAAAATTTCTGTTTTTAGCACAGGCAGCAATTAAAATAGCTCAGGAATCTCAACGCCTCGGGGAGCTGTCATAAAAGGAGGCAGAAAATCCATCTTCTGGACTCCTCTGCACCAGAGATGAGCCTGGAGGGAGCAGAAGAGAAGAGAGCCTGAGTTTCACCCGGTGGAAAAGGACAAGCCGAGCCGTCGAGCTGGATACAGCACATGGATCCCGAGATGCCCGTGGAGGATCTCCGGGGTCCCAGCACCCCTTTCTCGCTCTCCTTTTCGGGCAGTGGTTTCCTGGCCCTCTACCAGGTCGGGGTGGTGCAGTCCCTCCTGGAACTGGCTCCTGAGCTCCTCAAATCCGCCTGCAAGGTCTATGGATCATCAGCTGGGTCCCTGATCGCCGCCGCCGTCGTGTGCGGGATCGGCCTCGGTAAGACAGCTGTCACCTCAATTTCCCTTTCTCGTGGAGATTTCTATGCCAAAACTGATGCCTCGAAGTGCTGGTGGGGATGTTGCCTTTTAATTAGTTGTTTTCATCAATCATAGGGTTGCGTGTTAGGCCTTAAATTGATTTTAGCCAGCACGGAGCAAAGAGTTGTCTTGGGCGACTTTTGTGAGAACAAAGCTTGGGAAAAGGGCGAAAACTGTAAGTTTTAAAGTTAACCTTGATGGACTTCAATGAAAAGCTTGTGAGGGAAAGATGTGGTGTTGAAACTGGACATCTGGGAAAATAGGACCTTTTGCAGAAACCAGCAGATAACAAAGAAGTCTAACAAAGGCTCAGTGTTTGTGTTAGAAAGTCCCCACCGGAGAAAAGAAAAAGATACTAAAAAGACTAAAAGTATGAACTAATTAGCACAGGCAATGAGAGATTAATAACCAATAGTGGCTAGAATACTAATTAGTGAAAGGGAATGATGTAATTTAGAACCAATGAACATGAATTTCTTTGAATTTGTTAAAAATTTTCTAAACAGGTGAAAAAATGACGTGTTGGTGTCTGGGTGGAGGCAGGATTTTTGTTGGCCACATGCACACCCAGAGCTGCAAATCTAGTGAGGCCTTGTTTTCTAACACTAAAAAGGCAGTGGTTCTAACACCCAAAATGCAGTGTAGAAGGGTCCTGTCATTCCCAAGGATTTCAGGGGTATTTGGCAACAGGGGTGCAATGTTGGTGTCACTCCTATCGCTCACAAGGCACTAAGGAAATCCAAGGTGTTGTCGCTTTTGGCGGCCAAGCTGGAGCAATTTTGGGTGGTGTAAGGTGAAACAGCCGGTTGTGACAGTCTGAATGTTCACTATCAGATGGTGGGGAGATACCTGTGTGGGGAAATCTGGATGCACCTGAATTCCACTGGCTCATTTCCCTGCTCCTGCTGAAGGAGCCGAACTCCCCTTCAGCTGCAGGGTCTGAGGAGTGCTGAGATGTGTCCCAAAGAAAGTCTGCCTGGCTGTAGACTCAGCATCTACATGGGATGTGCCCTTTGTCCCTGTGGATCAGGTCCCCTGGGTTCCTTAGCCACAAAAGGACGTGAGTGGCATTCCCAGGTATCCATAGAGGTGACAGCCCTATTTGCAAGTCACATTGTTTCATCCCACCCAACCTTCCCAGAACAAGGGAAGATGTGGTGCAATTCCCGTTCCCAGATAGTGGAGCGTCTTTCCCTGCGGTAAAAGCTCGAGGGCTCATCAGTGGGATGTGCCTGATGGAACAGCAGTATATATATATAATATATATATTCAGAAAAAGCAGAAATAAACATTTCTGCCCATATGGGGGTGAACTCCTTCACAAATCAGCGAGGGGCCCAAAATTTCCTCTCTGATTCCTCATGCTGATGTAAGGGATGGGGCTGGGGGTGTCCAGCAGTGCAAATAAATTTGGGAACTGCTCTTGCTGGAGGCACCAGTCCTGAAACAGGGCTCTGCTTCCACGGGGGTGAAAGACACTCTCCACTTAGAGAGGTTGAGATGATCTTGTGCTCAAAATACCGTCCTTGGGGGAAGAAAAGACATTTTGGGTAGTGACGATGCTGGTTGGGTTCCTAATAAGTAAAATGAAAGTGCCACAAAGTCTGTCAAATTCACACTGGGACAAAAAGAGGGTGAAAAGTGTGTTTGGTGTCCCCGTGGGGTGGCTGCGGTCAGGTCCTTGTCCCCTGCCCTGACCTGGGCTGGGTGAGGAGGTCTGAGCTCTCTGAGCCAGTCTGTCGTCTGCCACCCCACAGGTCACCTCCTGGGGACATGCCTGGTCACCAGGCTGGTGCAGGCAGGGACAGACGTGGCATTGCTGCCACGGTCATCCCTTGTGTGCCCTGAACTGAAACCCCCAAGATGGGATCGTCTCTCACCTCCCACCCAGCAGCTTGTGGGCAGTTTTCCCGCATTTCCCTCATTCCCAGGACACAGAACAGTGCCCTGTGGGTCCACCACCTCCCTGGGGTGTCTCTGGCTCTTTTGGGATCCCCCGAGGACCCCGAGTGACCCTGCTGAACATTAATCATCACCACATGGCCTCAGCATCCGCTCAAACACACATAACCCCTCTTAATACCTGTGTGGCTCCAGGTGCCTTCAGGACACTCCACCTAATCCGTCTGTCTGTCCAAGCAATCTCATGGGACAGCATGGAAGCCTCTGCCCCTACAAGGCTGTGGGTGCAGGTGCAGGGCCCCAGGGAGCTCCCCTGGGTGCAAAGATAGCTCTTTTGGAGCTAGATAAGCTTTCTGCTGAAGAAATTTAACCCCCAAGGTGGGATATTCCCCCAGGGGAGCTCCCCACGTCAGCAAAGGGACCAAACTCCCTCCCTGGGATCAGGAGTTTGCTGCACTCCTCTTCCTCCCCATCACTGCCCAGCCTTTAAAACCCAGAGTATCTCTTCAGCCAGGGCTCTGGGGTTCTCCTCCTTTAATCCAGCTCCTGGGATGTGCAGACACATGTCATGGCTATTAACACCACCTCACAGGTCGCTGGGGGAGCTCAGGTGAGTCCCAGGACACTTGGCTTGCAGAAAGCCCTAAACAGAGCCGGTGCCCTTCATCCCACTCCCCCTGGCAGCTGGAAAACTGGAAGGGGAAGGCAGGAACGTGCTGACCAAGTCACATTGGCACCTACAACTCTGCCTGCACCCGTCTGCCTTCCTGGGGCTCTTTGGAACCTTTCCCTAATCCCTGCCTTGAGCACCTGTCTCCGGTGCAGACGGGGATTTCACCGGCGGGGTCACACTCAGCCTTTTGAGGACATCGTGGGGGTGATGTCCCCTTTTCTGCCCTGCCACAACGTTCCCCAGCAGTGTCATCCTGGGGTCACACAGTGGGGCTGGAGAGGCTTTATTTGCGAGGAGTGTTAACAATAGGATGAAAAATATAACTGGCAGGGCAGCAGGGATCTTGACTTTCTCTCCGCCTTTCCCCTGCCTCTGTTTCAGATGACCTAAAGGAATTTTTCTTTGCCATGGCAGCAGAAGTCAGGAAAACCATCCTGGGCCCCCTCTCTCCCAGGTGCAGCTTGCTGGCCAATATCAAGTCTGTTCTGCAGAGGATGCTCCCAGAGAATTCCTACCAGCTGGCTTCAGGGAGGCTGCACATCTCGCTCACCAGGGTGGCAGATGGCCAGAATGTCATGGCCTCGGAGTTCAGCTCCAAAGAGGAGCTCATTCAGGTACAGAGACATTCCTCTGATGCTGAGGAACATCTCTGCCTGCTGCTCGGGGTTGGAGGACCCTAAGCTGGTGTCTTTAACTGCACTGTTTTCTACCTTGAGTAATAAAAATTGTAGCAGTTGCCAGATTTTCTACTGAGAGCATCAAGAAGCTCTGCCAGGGCTGTGGTCCTGCCACAATGAGCTCCATGAGTCTTGGAGGGAGGGAGGGAGATGTGAGGTCCACAGTCAGACAGGAAAAAATCACACTAAAAAAGCAGCGGGTTTGTTTCCAGCCTCGTAAAGCTGATGCTGGTGCTCTAATAAGTGCTGATGACTCTTTAAGAGCTCTTTTAATGCTCAGCTCTCCACAGAGGTCTCTCCTCAGCCAAATCCCGTTGGCAGTGGTTTTCCTTGTTGCCTCAGCACTTTCCTGGGAGGACAGAGCTGGACAAAGCTGCTGCCAAACAACAGGCAGCTGATTAACCAGTAAATTAACCAGTAAAATATATTGGACAGTGATACGTAGATTTGCACCTATTAATTCTGGTATAGCTTAATTAAATTTAATTTAATTAATTTAAAATAATTTAAAAAAAATATAATTAAAGACAGAAGTGCTTTGCCCTGCTCAAGAGAGTTATTTCAGCTTTAATGAAATGAGCTGTTTGCCCCTTCTTGAAGCCTTTCCTCTTGCCACAGTCCAGGTGGCACTGACAGCCTGGCTCCAGACTTTGTCAAGGCTGAATTTTCAGGCACCCAGTCAACAGCTTTTGTCCAGGGGAACTTTAACAGGAACATTGACTTCTCCAATCCCTCTCCTCTCCCAGGCTCTCCTCTGCAGCTGCTTCCTTCCCATTTACTGTGGATTCATCCCTCCATCCTACCGAGGAGTGGTGAGTGTTATTTCCAATAAAACAGATGCTCCCAGCAGTGTGTTCTTGTGTTTGAACTTCACATTCCCTTGAGCAGGGTGGGCTATGTATGTCCAGGCTTTTTCTTCAGTTAATGGAGGAGGATAAAGCCTTTTAGCTCCTTCTCCATCCCATCCTAAGGTGGCATTGCCATCTGGAGAGGGCTTTGCCCACAGACAGACTGTGAATGACTCAATCTCGCCTTGCAGATCTCTGGCATGATATGAGAGGAATCCCACGGTCAGGAATTAGAGGCACAATCCAGTTATCCTGGGCAGGGTCTGCCTGCAGTGCAGGTGTCACTTAGATCAGGTGCAAACCTGCATGGTTCAGACACAGCGAGTCTGTGGGAGAATCCCTGTGCATTTTCATACCCTGTGCTTGTCTGGGTGAAGGAAGAGCACATCAGCATTTTCCAGAGCTTTCAGAGATGGGGCAGCCACAGCTTCTCCAGGAAACCTGTGCCAGGGCCTCCCCACCCTCACAGGGAAGAATTTCTTCCCAATGTCCCATCTAACCCTGCCCTCTGGCAGTGGGAAGTCATTCTCCC